GTAAGTGCTAATGTGTCAATCGTTTAGAATAACGGAGAGACCAACAATATTGTGCACAGCTGATTGTTTGACTTGCGTGCATAATTGACCTGTTAAATGTTGTCTGCGACACGTTTTCACCAGTCTACATGGCCTCGTGGATGACTAAACTCTATAGACCGCACTAAATGACATACTCATTATACTGCTAGCTGTTTCAAAGGTCAGATGAGAAAGTTGATAACTCGACAAAGAATTGGGGTCTACATCAAAGCAAACCATACCCACGGCAACAGTTTATTCTGCACCCATACAGAGAGAGAAATAATTTACTTCAGACAGACACACAACGGTTCTTGAGCTGTCCTCGAAACCAGACACGCAGATTAAGTTGGAATAAGAAGGGGAAAAAACCGAGCTAATGTCATACAAAACAAAGACTAGCAGTAATAGAAACAGAAAAAAAAAGAAAAAAACTGGGTTGTTGGGGAGCCAAAAATGACATTAGGACAAATCTATATTGAAGCAGTTAGGTTCCTGAAATAAGCCTTAAACATTCCTCAGACTATTGGACTAGAGCAGCGAAACCAAACTTGTGCAGACTTTAAAAAAAAAAAAAAGATTTCAATTGGGCTTCAGAAAAACACAGTTAACAATGAAAGCAGCCCAGTAAAAGAAATTGAAAAAATTGCTGACGTGTAACTCCTTCGACATCGTAAACAATACAAAATCATTATTTTTTTTTAACGGTCAAAACTGTTCACTGCGTTCATCTTACAGGAGAAACTTAAAAACAATATGTAAATATATAAAAACCTTTATGAGGATGTGTGAAGCTCTCAAATCAGACCATTGGAGAGCTATTTGGACTTAGAGAACTCACTGTTTTGTTTGTGAACATGACAAGTCAGAAGAGTCTGTAAAGGCTACGTTGTATCTCTTGCAACCCCACATCACAGAGCGTCAAAAATAAAAATTCTTCATTCATTTTATGAAGTTGAACTGGGTAGAATATGAGAAGCACTAGATGTGTGGCAGGGATCACCGAATTGGCGGAAACATACTTTTCAGACTGGAAGAGACATGGTAAACAGAGCTGACCTCTGCCGTTTGGGCCTCGATTTGTCATGGCAGCTCTCTGTTTGTTTAATGACAGAGCGTATTTTTTAAAGAGCAGAAGCGAGAATTTGGCAGCAGAAGAGATGGAAAGAAGGAAGATATAGGTCAAAAAGAAAAATACGCTGACAAGCAATGAGTGGAGCAAGAGCACTGACTTAATCCATGATAGTATTGGTCGTGTACAATGACAAATCATTACCAATATGCTTTTTTGAATGCTACATGATTGTGACTTCTCCAGTGAGAGGAGGTGCTGAGAAACGTATCTACTTAAAAGGAGGTTTGGGAAGCACTGCACTAGACAAACATTCCAAACGGAATTCACGAATTCATTCCTAACTTTGATTATTATTTCCATCTATTCTTTAACGCTATTCTTTACCACAGAGCGTTAGAGCCGAAAGTCACCCCCCCCCCCCCTTTTCCCCTAAATGTTCTTTTATTTACTGTGTTAGACATATAATTTTATAATGGTCATTTGTAGGGATAAATGTTGCTACATTTGCATACTTTAAGTTGAAAAAATAAAATCATGGTTGCCATGGCAAATAACCACCATCTTAAAAAAAAAAAAAAACTACATATACTAAATATCCTACAATTTCAAAAACAAATAAAGGTATTGAAAAAAAAAAATTATTGATTCATAAATTGAAATACTATTTAAAGGTACAGGTGTAGTTTATTTACTTCAAAGCTGCTTTTAAATATTTTTCGTAGAATTTTAAAACATAGGTTTGTTGAAAAAGTCAACAAATGTAGCAATATAAGACAGTAATGAATTTTAAAAAAAAACCTTTCTAAAATCTACTTTTAAATAGACATATCTCTATAATTATGTTAAAGAAGTATCTATAATAATTTCCATGTTTCTTCTAGTCTTTATATTAGCTAAGATTTTAGGATTTGACGCACAGAACAAACACAAGTAGAGAGTTGTGAGAAAACTTAGTTTGAAACCTTTTCTATCTTAAAAAAGTGCATAGGTGGTGTCTTTAGTATTAACTTTTCAATGCTAAATTGTTTACAAATGAAACAAATGTTGTGTGTAATCTATTCTATGAATGCAGAACTTTACAAAAAAACGAACACATTGAAAAAGTGATATTTTTGTCATAAATTTGTTAAACATAGTTGTGTCCGTCATAACTGACAGTTCACAAAATCCCACTTGATCAGTATCCATGATGTCTAGATGTTTTCGCTTGATGAGTATCTCAGCTGGAAACATTGATCGTTTCCCTAATGTCAAGGTTGTCTACTTTTACATGTTCACGAATATTCTGCCTACTGCGTTTAATGGCTCGCCAGTTTTGTCGCTGGTCTACATTGATTGTGTGGCAGATCCAGTAAAAAACAGAAAAATGGATCTGCTTATTTTTTTAAATATCAATCAAATAATCTTGGTGTAGCTCCAAGTCAGGCTAGATCATCAGGCGTTATACCCATCTTGTGATTTGTGTCTCTGTCTCAAGGTGGAAGTGTCGCTGATTCAAGCTACTAGAAGAAACTTACCAAAGAACATCGTCAAAATGCACTTTACCTTCCCCGGCTGACTATGTTCATTGTGCGATCGCCTCTTTCACCAGTCTGCTAGTTGTCATTAAAAAAACGACACATCTGGTCTCCTGAACTGTTCTGCTTGAAAGCGCTCTGTGAAAGAATGTGCACTTGTGTGTGTCCAGCTACAAGGGACTCATTTTTGAATATAAACACATTTTTCGAATCTGGATTGACAATGATGAGCACATGGTTCTGTGTAACGACAGAAACAAGATTATTCTCCTGAAAGATTCTAACAAGCATGAAAGCACACTGTTGAGTTGAGTTAAGAATTGACATCACAGCACTCAACTCAACAAGGTGCTATCACGCTTGTTCATACCATACTGTTGAGTTGAGTCAAGAATTCACATCAAAGCACTCAACTCAACAAGGTGCTATCACGCTTGTTGATATCACTCTGTTGAGTTGAGTTGATTCAAGAATTGACATCACAGCACTCAACTCAAAAGTGTGCTATTAGTGTGTTGATAGCACACGAAAATATGTAGTCTAACGTTTGAGGTACATGCATCTATTCCTCTCCTCTGTGGATTTATGTACGATTCAAGACATGTTTGATACTTAAAAGGAACAGGGTTTCTGAACTCCAGATATGTCAGCCTATTTGCCAACGCTAGACGTGAGAAACTTCCTACACCTCAGCCACAAGCTCTGTATTGTTAAATTAAATCGGCACCTACTGACGATCAGTGCACAATTATGCGAGTGTTACCTTTATTGATGGCAACCTCCGTGGTGCAGGGGAAAGACGTTCATCTGGGGATCCGGAGGTTGTGTATTCAGGTCATGACGAAACCAGATTTTCCTTTTAAAACAGAAATTACCTTGCTCGGATCCAGCAAGCCTTAAATGGGTACCAAGAAGAATCATGAGAAGTAAAAGTGGGCCGCGTGATGACGAACACATCCCCACTTAGTGTCGATTGGTCTATAAAATACAGGTCGTCCCATATATCCATACACACGTGAGAGTGGAAAACTACCTTTGTTAACGTTTATTTGAAATCGTAAATACTAAGCATGTAATTGTACCAGGATAAAGACACCAGGGAATCTCAACCATGTGTGCTGGTCCCTGGAGACCGTCAGAAATGTAAAATGGTTGAAGCATTGATCTATGTGTTTCAGGTATCTGACCCTGTACGGTATCACGAGATCTGCGCATGTGTGACCCCAGTCAGCGGAAGTAACGTGACAGAAGACCAGCTGAAGTCCTACTGTGAAAGTATCTTCATTGCCGACTTGACCAATGACCAGACGCCCATGCCCAAGTATTTTATGGTAGTGTTACGTTTTTTTTTTTTTACATGCATATGTGAAATAAATTTCAAGATGAACTAACTGATTTTACTATTTTAGAAGTATCTAATGTTATTCACATGAGTCGCACTATTTTAGAAGTATCTAATGTTATTCACATGCACTATTTTAGAAGTATCTAATGTTATTCACATGCACTATTTTAGAAGTATCTAACGTTATTCACATGCACTATTTTAGAAGTATCTAATGTTATTCACATGCACTATTTTAGAAGTATCTAATGTTATTCACATACACTATTTTAGAAGTATCTATCTATTTCACTATTTTGTTATTCACACATACACTATTTTAGAAGTATCTAATGTTATTCACATAGGCACTATTTTAGAAGTATCTAATGTTATTCACATACACTATTTTAGAAGAAGTTATTCACATACAATGTTATTCACATGCACTATTTTAGAAGTATCTAATGTTATTCACATGCACTATTTTAGAAGTATCTAATGTTATTCACATGCACTATTTTAGAATTCACATGCACTATTTTAGAAGTATCTAATGTTATTCACATACACTATTTTAGAAGTATCTAATGTTATTCACATACATGCACTATTTTAGAAGTATCTAATGTTATTATTCACATACACTATTTTAGAAGTATCTACTATTTTAGAAGTTATTCACATGCACTATTTTAGAAGTATCTAATGTTATTCACATACACTATTTTAGAAGTATCTAATGTTATTCACATGCACTATTTTAGAAGTATCTAATGTTATTCACATGCACTATTTTAGAAGTATCTAATGTTATTCACATACACTATTTTAGAAGTATCTAATGTTATTCACATACACTATTTTAGAAGTATCTAATGTTATTGTTATTTTTATCATGTTATTCACATGCACTATTTTAGAAGTATCTAATGTTATTCACATGCACTATTTTAGAAGTATCTAATGTTATTCACATACACTATTTTAGAAGTATCTAATGTTATTCACATACACTATTTTAGAAGTATCTAATGTTATTCACATACACTATTTTAGAAGT